ACTTTTAAGTTAAACAAGGTTGTTATATAGTATTAAAATGATTTGGTATATAAATAAGTAAAGTAAATGAGGTTTAGAAACTCAAACTTAGTATTTAATTAGAGAATATGCTTAGTAATACCGTATACTCATATACAGCGTATACGGAAATTTTTTACTTATGGTATACGCATACGCGCGTAAATATACGCCCGTATTTTCAGCTAAAATTTTCTCTTACGATACGGTGCGTAAGCGTATACGCTGCAGGCGTATCCGTAAATTACGCTACGGTGCGGAGCACTAGCCCTCTTCAGACCCGCCACATTCTCCTCCCTCGGCACCGAGTTCGTCCTAGGCGACTGCAGCGACCAATTGTATTACTACCAATTCTTCCTCGTTAGTGAGGAGGAAAGAGATAAAATGCAAGAAGTATGGGACCGAACGTGGTATTGGGACTTTTGGAAAAAGGAGTGGTGGACAAGGAGGAGGGAGTTGTGTCGGTTGACAAGGACTGTGGATATGCTGACGAGTTTGAGAAGTATGTTTGGGGATGGGTGGAACCCTCCGCCGTCTAGCGCGCAGCTTCGAATTTATCAGATACAAAACCTTTTGTTCTTAATGATTATTTATAATCAACATCTTTAGAACAGGTTTTGCAAGTTGAGACAGAAAAGCGAAAGGTGCAATGTCGGTTGGAAGGCATGCAAGTCAAAACACGATGGTCCCAAGGTTCTCTACTGTCCTAACAAGTCTCGCTTTCGAATACCAAGAATAAGAGGTCAGCATGCATATGATATGAAGGCAGAACTGTTTAACTCAATAGCAGCTGCCTAGTGTGAAAAAGTAAATATCATTTGTTCATGTAGGTAATTGTACATGGTATTTCTTGTAAAATTCACGCCTACATATGATGCATCACCCATTCCTTTATTTCCTCGCCGTGCACCTCATTGTACTGAATATCTCTAACGTTGCTCATACCATTCGTACTGCCAAGACTTTGTTGCCAGAACGTGTTGCATATAGTTACCTTGGGACCATTCTTTTTACAACAATTTATAGTTCAAAGTTGGATTATATCGCTGGAATGGTGTTTCTCGGGAAAACAACAAGTCTATACACGATGAATTTGGTGAGAATTCATGAACGCCAGAAAAGCACGAGAAATACAAGCAAGAAAGTGCTATCTAAATGACAAAAACAACTTTAACCTCAGTCTTTGTCCGACCCTTCAACACCCATGATCTTCGTCCAGTCCTTCCCATGAGGAATCGTCGTCCAGTCCATGTACATGAGCTTCCCATCCTCGTTATTCGGAATGCGGACTTGACCACCGCATATGCTGCGTCGGTGTTCTGGAGGGACCCACAGAAACAGGCCGCCGTCTAGTGTCCGAAGCCAGCCGTCGTCTGGGATAGCCGATGGATTAGCAGTATGTGCAATGAAAAGGCTAAGGTAGCTTCTGGCAACAGTTAAGAAACATTGTGCGTCAGGGTCCCATCGACATTCACCGGGGAACATCGTCTTGATACACGTGCCATTGTGAGCATCCCAAAGTCGTATCGTCCCGTCCCAAGATCCAGAAGTTATTTTGTTCCCGTCAGGAGAGTATGCAACGGACTCGACAATATTTTCGTGACCGCTGAGAGGCTCGCCGATGGGTTCTCCGGAATGCGCGTCCCAGATTCGCACTGTCTGGTCGTCGGACTCGGAGACGATTCTGCTCCCGTCTGGAGAATATGCAACACTCCTAACATAGCCGCCGTGACCCTTGAGAGGCTCACCAACAGGCTTGCCGCTTCGTGCGTCCCAAATCCGCATTGTCCTGTCAATCGAGCCTGACACAATCCTTGTCCTGTCTGGAGAGTAGGCAACACTCAGGATCCAGTTGTTGTGACCCTTGAGTGGTGCACCGATGGGCTCACTGCTCTGCGCATCCCAGATTCGCAGGGTCTCGTCCAAAGAGCCCGACACGATCCTGCTGCCGTCCGGAGCGTATGCAACGGCCAAAACCCGGCCCCTGTGTCCTCTGAGAGGCTCACCAACTTGTGCGCCGTTCTGCACGTCCCAGATCAGCAAAGTTCCATCTCTAGAGCCAGACACGATTCCATGCCCGTCTGGGGCGTACGCGACAGCAGTCACAAAGTTAGTGTGACCAAAGAGAGGCTTACCGAGTCCCGACGCATACCCCAGTCTGTGCGTCCCAGATTCTCAGTGTCTCGTCATTGGAGCCAGACACGATTCTGGTCCCATCGGGTGAATATGCAATGGAGTTGATGCAGTCACTGTGACCCTCTTGAGACTTGATAAGAATTGTGCCAGTGTGTGTGTTAAGACGAGACTACACAAGAGTATGTCTCAGATGATATAAACTACATTACAAGCAATGACGAACGATGATGGAATACTTTCCATCATACATTCTACATCTGAGACATACCTACATAGTATATATAGACTAACTAATCAACAGACAATGAAGCAAGCTGCAAGAGAGCAAGCCAAGTCCACTATCCCCCCTCTTTGTGTGATCCCTCTAAGCCTCTCACATAACCTCTCTTCCCCTTTCTTAACAGGTTATGAGCCTTGAGCTCCCTGCCTACACTTTATCTACACTCTACTATGTCTATGCTCTATACAGTTCTATGCATCACATGCATACATACAGTATAATACAATGCAGAACTTGACTCACCTGTCTGAGTATCCCAAACACAAATCAATACACTACAGATGCACAATCTACTGTACTACATACAACCCAGACATTATATGATTGTCATCTTAGTGATTATGATCATTGGCCCAGTAATAACATAATCTATGCAGGCAATGTTGAAACTACAATGAGTATCACTTACTGCAATTATTA